GTAGACGCTTTCACAAATTTCTGCGCTCTATTTGGAGTACTTTAGCAATAGATTGAACGTTTGACGTAATAGTACAATTCGCAAATTTTCATGAAGACCGTGAAAATGTGCTAGTGATGTTTTAGGTCTGTAGAAATCTTTGTGCGCGTATATTTTGACTCTTACTTAATGTAGGAGCCTACCTTCATTGCAATCGCCAGATGAAATGCTGCACAATGACTGTGTCGTGCAGCATGAATTGATATTGGATGAATTGTAAATATTCATGGCGAGGCTTTGATTGGAGGAAGGATCTGCTTTAGTCTTCGCTGCCGCGATCGAGACGTTCATTTTATCTGGCATCTGGGTAGCTATGATGGCAGCTAGGTTGTTGGCAAATTTATTGAATGTTACTGGCTTTAATATGCTGAACATCCAAAAATCTTCTGGACTGTTTTCCGTGGGATTCGTCTGCTTCAGCAAAGCACAGGAACACGGTGAAAAATGGTTGTTTAAAAGTTTCAAAATGGTTTACTAGAAGGTTAGCTCATCCAGCGAGTTCAGCAGTTGTTCTTCCGATCTTGCGTTCAGTGTCGAAAAGAAGTCGAGAAACACTCCCTCATTTGACATACTTTACGATCGAGACTGCTGGTCATTTTGTCGATAAATAACGTCTTAAATTGTAATTTTGTATCTCATCCATTACTCTGTTTCGTTTTAGTATCACCATATGAGTTCGGTTTGACAGACATCTATCCCAATCATACGGTGAAACGCGGCTTGATGCTGGTGTCGAAAGTTTTGCAGCAGATAGCAAACCAGACGGATTTCGTCAAGGACACTTGTTTGCAGTCGTTTAATTCATTCATCCGTGGAAAATTTGATGTCGTCAAAAGGCGAGGGCTGCTTGTTTCTATGCCTATGTTTATTTTGGACTGTTTTGTCTGTTTTTTAGGTTTGTTTCCAACATCACGTTGGAGTCGCCCTCGTGTATAATTTCAAGTCCGACAGTGACATTCGTCCACGACGCTACCGTCTCGTCTCTCCATCGCTTGCTCTGGCGATACCAGGACGAAATTGGTGAATATCTTACGTCGGTACGATCGTACGAGTTGATCTCTCGTCGACTGATCACGCTGCTGGCACAGATGGGTCCTGCTGAGCACAAAACTTCTGAAACAGGGTTTGCGCATACCTCATGTTTTGATATGCTGACTGATAACACCTTAACGTTGCTGTGGTTTGCAGGTGGAACAGCGCTGATCTGACCAGCAATCAGTTCGAGGAATTCATGGCCAAACAGAACATGACTGAGAAAGAGGAGTTCAAGTCAGTAAAGGCTACGAATGTCTTCTACCAGTCAGGGTATAGCAGAAACGGTTATCCAACGTTCTATTTCATTGCTGTTAGATACAAGTGAGTGAACGTTACGTGTCTTGTGATTCGCGTTGCCGGTTTCTGTGTATTCTTACTGCACTATTTTATATTGGAAAACATTCATTGGATTTGAATCCTACCCCGTATTCCTGTTTTTGTGTTTCATGCTGCCCCGTAATGTTTGCCTTATAATAGAGTACTTTATTTCTGGTGTATATTTTGATCATAACAGACCTCCGCCCTTCAGTTATTTTCATCAGGCTTTCACAGTTGTCAATGCCAACTGCTTATTCGGCTTAATGTTGTTTGATAAGAGCTAGTAAGAAAAATTCTCGAATATATTCAACCGCGTGTAGTTTCGTTTGTGTTCATCTACTGGAATATCTTCAGTGTGATCAGACTCAGATACTTTGGTTTGGCTTTGTCATCGTTGAAAAAGCCTTCAGGTAGGCAGTTGTTGATATCTTCTATTGCCATTGCCATTTTCAACAGTCAGACTCAAACAGGAAACAGGGAAAGAGATCATCGTTCTACCCTTCCTCACTCGCGGTATTCGATGAATACAACCTGTAAAGCACAGCCGTTGTCCAGGTTGGCAGGATCATATTCTAACCGATTACTGCTTATGCCTGTAGTGCATTTAGGTTCTCTCACCTTTCCAAGATGCGATGTTGTTGTTCACGTAATGTCGAATTTAGTAACATA